GTAGCAGAGTGCTGCAGATGGTCTAAGCAGCTTCAAAACAAGTAGAATTAATCTTGTTGATCTGGCTGGTTCCGAAAGACAAAAATCAACTGGTGCAGCAGGAGAACGTTTGAAGGAAGCTGGGAATATCAATCGATCACTTTCTCAACTTGGGTAAGATCAGAATATTGTTGACATGGCTGCTTGTTAATATTGCATTTTGTTCATCTAGGAAGTACATTTGATGCTGTAGCATACATTTGAATCCGGATTTTGATGGCAACAACTAAAACTAAGGGAAAAAGTAAACACAATTTGAAAATGAGGATCGTAACTTCTGACTTCTATGCCAGATCTTTGAATACACATTTTATATATGTGAGGCTATAGAGTCTGAAACTTTAAAATCGTAGATAAATGTAAACCATTCGAGTTGTTTTTACTTGCAGGAATTTGATAAACATTCTAGCAGAAATTTCACAAACAGGGAAGCAAAGGCATATACCCTACAGAGATTCCAGGTTGACATTTCTGTTGCAGGAGTCTCTTGGTGGGAATGCCAAATTAGCTATGGTTTGTGCAGTTTCTCCCTCGCAAAGGTAAATCGAGAACCCGAATTTCCCTTTCAGGAATTATCTTATCCTTCCAGTTATTCTTACAATAAAATTGCATCATAAATTGCAGTTGTAGGAGTGAAACCTTCAGCACCTTGAGATTTGCTCAGCGTGCAAAGGCGATACAAAACAAGGCAGTTGTCAATGAAGTAATGCAGGATGATGTTAATTTCTTGCGGGAAGTGATACGCCAGCTGAGGGTATGCATTCTTTAGAATATATCATAAAATATAACTATAAATGTGAGAGTAACTTCTAATGTAAAATGCGCAGGACGAACTGCAAAGGGTGAAGGATAATAAAAACAACCCAACCAACCCAAATGCAGCTTATACCACTTCATGGAATGCGCGTAGAAGTTTGAGTTTGTTAAGAAGCTTTGGCCTGGGTCACCCAAAGTCATTACCCCATGGAGATGATGATGGGGATACTGAGATGGAAATTGATGAAGAGGCTGTTGAAAGACTATGTGCTCAAATGGGCTTGCAATCATCTCCACCTGGTGAGGAGATCAATCAGAACTTGACCAGAGTAGAGAAAATAAACTCATCCTTACAAACTGTGGCCCTTAAGTCATCTGAAGGCCAATCTACAGGAAAGCAGTTTCCTGATGATACAGATGTTAACATGGAGGACGCAATTTGCCAAACTGAGAACCATGGGGCAGCAACTACTGATAATGTATTATCTGTGGCAGAAACTGGCATCATCACAGATCGGAGCAACGTAGCTGTGCAAACTATGGATCATGATTCGAGTGTACAGCCTGCTTTGATAACTGATTCTTGTATGAGCGACATAAACCATGGCAATTCACCAAGCAAGGCGGACAGTGTTCAATCATGCCAAGACTTGGTCCCCGAAACTCTTGTTTCTGCAGTTGCATCAGTAGCTGCTACTTCAGATGATAACGAACACTTCTCAGTAAATCCTGTGTCACCTTGCCTCAGCATAGATCCAGAAAGTGTTTCTCCTGTACTAATACCTCCCATGGAGAGCGTCTCTCCTAGGGTTAGACATAGCAGGAAAAGCTTGAGGACATCATCAATGTCCACCGCATCACAAAAAGATATTGAGAAAGAGAACCAATTAACTACAGAAGTTGTGGAACCTTCTTCGGCGATGTTAAATCTCTCGAGTGCGTTGTCTACACAGAAAAGTGGAGCTTTACCTGTGCCAACTAAGCAATTGGCGGCTAGCCTCCACAAAGGCATGAAACTTCTTGACTGTTATCGCCAGAGTACTGCTCAAAGACGATCGACATTCAGGTTATCCTACAGAGCTCCAGAATGCAAGCCTTCAACCGTTTTAAGTAAGGCTGATGTAGGTGTGCAAACATATCCCGAAGCTGAAGAGAACCTCAAAGAAATACTGTGCAGTAAATGCAAATGCATAGCAGAATGTGATGCCCAAGAAACAAGTGACAGTTCAAATTTCCAGTTAGTACCTGCTGAGAACTCAGAAGCTCCAGAAAAATCCCATTTTCAAGTTCCTAAGGTAAGACAAACGGTGGCTTTCATTTAGAGCAGCTTTCCCATTCCGCATTTGTATAGTGTAATAGCATGACGGGAGTTTTCTGCCCCTTACAGGCAGTGGAAAAGGTTCTAGCAGGGTCTATCAGAAGAGAAATGGCTCTGGAAGAGTTCTGCACTAAGCAAGCCTCTGAAATATCACAGCTTAATCGGCTGGTATGATCCTTACTTATGCTCTGTTTGGCTAGCTTCTCTACTTTCTACATAACAAGAGAACCTTTCTGATTCTCTATAACAAATTGAACAGGTGCAACAGTACAAACATGAGAGAGAGTGCAATGCCATCATAGGACAAACAAGGGAGGACAAGATTGTTCGCCTTGAAAGCCTCATGGACGGTGTGTTATCTAAAGATGATTTCCTGGATGAAGAATTTGCATCTCTCATGCATGAGCATAAGGTAATATTTTGGGTTTCAGTTGTTTAGAAGATTCTTGACTCGATGCACAGTGTTTTCTGACATATAATGCTGCAGCTTCTGAAGGACATGTATGAGAACCACCCTGAAGTATTGCAGACGAGGATTGAGATGAAAAGACTGCAAGACGAGCTCGAAAGTTTCAAGAACTTCTATGGTGACATGGGAGAAAGGGAAGTATTACTGGAAGAGATTCAGGACTTAAAGGCTCAGCTACAATGCTACACTGACCCTTCTCTTGCATCATCTCGGAAAAGAGGTTCACTGCTTGGACTGACATACACTTGTGACCCTAATCAGGCTCCACCACTTAATACCATTCCTGAGTCAATGGACGAGAGTCCTGAGAAGACATTAGAACAGGAAAGGCATTGTTGGACTGAAGCAGAGAGCAACTGGATCTCTCTTGCTGAGGAATTAAGAACTGAGCTTGATACCAATAGGGTGCTAATGGAAAAGCAGAAACGTGAACTGGATACGGAGAAAAGATGTGCGGAAGAGTTGAAGGAAGCAATGCAGATGGCAATGCAAGGGCATGCACGGATGATTGAACAATATGCAGACCTGGAAGAGAAACATATACAATTGCTTGCAAGGCATAGGAGGATCCGAGAAGGAATAGACGATGTTAAAAAAGCAGCAGCCAGAGCAGGAGTCAAGGGAGCAGAGTCCAGATTCATCAACGCACTTGCCGCAGAAATTTCAGCTTTGAAGGTGCAAAGAGAGAAGGAGGCACAATACTTCAGAGATGAGAACAGGAGTCTCCAGTCACAACTAAGAGATACAGCTGAAGCTGTTGAAGCAGCAGGAGAGTTACTTGTTCGACTTAAAGAAGCTGAAGAAGGATTGAAAATTGCACAGGTACACATATGAAGTTACATTTTAAACATTTAACTAACTGTGATGTATAACAACAATAAAATCTCTCACCCATGCCAATCCTATCATATGACTTTAACGAGTCTGGTTTGTTTATTCGCAGAAACGGGCAATGGCTGCAGAATATGAAGCATCAGAAGCATATAAACAGATAGATAAATTGAAGAGGAGACATGAAACCGGGATCAGCAGTCTTAACCAACAACACATTGCAGAGTCACACAATCCCATAGAATCTTCGCTAGCTTCTATTAATGGCGATCATATGGCCAAATATGATGAACAAGTGGAACCATCAGCAAGTGCAGGTGATCAGCAATGGAGAGAAGAGTTCGAGCCATTTTACAAGAAAGATGCAGAGTTGTCAAAGCTCGCCGAGCCATCTTGGTTCTCGGGGTATGACCGATGCAACATATAATTTCGTCTCCACAACATTTGTTTTTTTTTCTGTAATGTGTATAGGAAAAAAAAAAAAAAGCAGACATTGTTGGGGTCTGATCTGATTCAGTGAGATATAGATCTAAAGTTTGCAACATTCTTCAACTTTTCATTGTATTTCTTGTATCCTACAAACTCAGTTTACAATTTTTACATTTTTGTACTCATCCATCTTGCAACTGAAAGATGTCTTCCTTAGATTCCTTGTAAGAGAATTTGATTTATCTCACTAATAGGCATAAAGCTCTGTAAAAGAACTATTGCAGTGGGAGAATGGAAAGGAGTAAAGCCTAAGGCGGTTTCTGAAGTAAATTTTCTCACTTCTTTCAGTTCCTGTATGGTCATGATTGAAACTTCAACTTCAAAGTAGGGTTTATCTTCGGATTAAATTTAGAGTTTATATGGGAAGGTAGCTAAACTTTGGGAGAAAGGAACACGCGGTGGTTTGCAGCTTGGGAGGTTTTTGATAGAGAGAAAGGAGTCGAGAACACATATTCTGTTACAGCTATGACAACATAAGAAATTGCAACATTGATGATAATGGAAGCAGTCTCATTAGTGACTGAGTTGATGGGTGATGACATATAGCCATTGCAACCTCTTTAGTTGAGATGATCTTAACATTGCCAACAATTTTTCACATGATAACTAAACCTTATCGATCACTGTCAATACTTAGCGATCAAGCTTAAAGATTGGATGGTCATACTATTATTTTGGACTTGCCATCACCATCTGAGCACACCTAACAAACCCGGCCAGAATCAAATTTCACATCATAATTAACATTTTGCCTTAAATGTTTTAATTTTGGTTTGGCTTGTTTGCGAAGTCTATTCTATAATAGAGTATCCATTTAATTGATTAGAAATATCTTTAAAACGAGCAACGAAACACAAAGTTTGTGTCTAAAATTTGAAAAATTACATAAGAAGTGAACTAATTTATTCCCGATTCTTACAAGTTGAGCAAATAATACATAACAATTGTAAATACTACAGAGATGGTCCAATAAAAGTTTCTTGTCATTTTTTTTACAACATATGAAGTTTTTTTTTGGGTTGAGAAGAAATCAACAGATGCACAAGCAAAGAAGAAACGATAGTAAACATTAATTCCACATGTTTCACTTCGTACCCATCACTACTTGGTTTCTGTATGTACAGAGCTTAACATTCATCAACACTTTTTTATCAGCTTATTATGGCTCAAGCTTCATCTGAAGTGTTGGCTCAGAACCTGAAACATCAAATATGAGAGATTTAGCATGAGAGTCTTCTTGGTTCTAACGTTCTTTAATGGACTGTGGTTTTTAATTGTTCTTACAGCTGTTGTTGTTGCTCTGTTGTCGGATATCTCCAAAACCCATCTGAACAATGCTTTGCAGGTCATTTTCCCAGAATCCCTGTGTCTGAAATTAATCAAAAACACAAAAGGAATGAGCAAGAGAAGTTGAGTTTACGATACAAGTTTCTGGAATCTGACATCAACTAGTAACTACCTCAGCTTGAACAAATCCATCGCTCGAGGGGAATTGCGTGTCTGAGAATCTTGGCATGTTCTTGCCAAGGGAATAGTATCCTGATGGAAGTCTTTGCTCTGAGCAAGCTATTGCATAAAGCGACTGCGTTAAAGACTCTCCCGGTTGTATCATCTGTACACACAAATTCACACATTTATTGATACAGAACATTTCGATAAGAGTAACATGATATCGCAGTTTCAAAAGCAGAATTTTACCTCAGCGGATAAAGCAGCACTAGAATTAAACTCCATCCTTGGATTTATAGTTGCGAGCTTCATTGACAAGAACTGAAGAAAAACAAACCGCAAGTTACAGATTTAAGAGGTACTCAACTCCGATTTCAAGAAACATTGTTTTTTATAATCCCAGGTTCTACCTCGACTTGTCTCTGCAAGGACTGCACGTAGTTTATAATTTCATCAAGCATGACCGCTTTCCCTGTAATCCGGTTGCAACCAGGAACAAGATCCTGAAGCAACGTCATTCTCTCGCTGATCTTTTCTCTTCTTGCCTGATTCCAAAACACACAACACAAACATCAATCAACATTGTAAATTTAAACCAGAACATCATAATACGGAAAAAATTAGATTGATTTTTGCAGGAGTTAGTACTCTTTCAGCGAGGCTGTGGCTATCGGTTGCCTGACCCCTTCTTGCTCTAACATGAATATAATCTTTAGGCGCCTCGGGAGGCTTTGCATCGTCCTTATTGTCGCCTTTACTATCGCACTTCTCTGTTACGTTTTTACTGCTCCCATCTTCATCCTGCTTACTTCTCTTCCCAGCCTTGGATCCACCATTCTCTCCTGAAATCTGATCATAAATCCGAAACCAAACCGTTCATGAACCATGAAAATGTCTGCACTAATCACAACTCAACTATACATATAGTTCTTAAATCCAGAAGACTACACTTTCCTCTATAGTCAACAGATATCTACAATAGTGAAAACAAAGTGTATTACTATTCAGAGTTGTGAATCAAACTTACCTTTGAATTGGAAGCTGTAAGAGACGATGAAGCTGGAGATTCCTTGCCATTTCCAGGAGCAGGGTTCGATTTTCTCTTCCTGGAGTTGGATTTCGTGGTCGGAGCTCGATCCGAAGAATCTGGATCCAACAACGAGCTCTTGTTACTCTCCTGTGTCGTTGGTTGCGACCCGAGAACTCCAAATTCCCGATCAGATCCGAATTGTTCTCCTGGATACGGTGGAAATCGGATTCCTCCAGAGATGGGGAAATTCTCAGAGATCTGAGAATTGAGGGAGAAGGATTGTAGTGAAATCTCTTGAGGGTTACAGAATCTTCCGAGGAAATCGCCGATTGTTCCGTCATTGGCATTGCCAAAGGGATCGCTCTGACCTAAAGGTAAGTAATTTAGGGTTTGTTCTGTTTCCTTATCCATGTTCAATCTAAACAAGCAGAGACAACTAAAGAGAATTCTCTCTGGGAAATTCTGAAGAAAACCCAGATGAACACAATGAGAATCTGAATCAGAAAGAAAGCTGCTTCTACATGTGAAATTGAGAGAAAACAAAAATGAGATAACCAAATCGAGAAGTAAGAAAAAGACAAAACTTTTTGTTTCTGTGTGATTCTTTTTTTCTTCTTCTCAGATTCCAAACAAACCCACAGAGAAAGAGATTGAATTTTTTTCCCCAGGAAAATGTACTAAATTTTGGGTTTTGTTTCGTGGAAAAGGAAACGAGTCAGGAAGAATCTGC